CAAATGTGGGAACAGTAGGCAAGTACTATCTGGACAGGATTTAAGTGGAAACGGCCTGTAGGTAAGCATCAGAGTGCTGAAAGTAGAGCCAAGCACCCCAAGTGGAGTTGAACATTAGTATTATGTATAGCCGATGTGAGTTTCTCCATGTGGTAAATGTCATTCATTTTTGAAAACCAGAGGTTCACAGTACGAAGGGTGTTTTGAGACGGGAGGTTTTTTTTGTGTTTTTTTTTTTTTTTTTTTTTTTTTGTCAAGCTGGTTTCAGCCTTTCATTTAAATGAAAACCTTGTTTTACCTTCACTTTCTCTAGCTCCTGTTCATCCTAAAGGAGATTTATCTTGTTTTGGATGTTGTGCCGATGTTAAGAGTTTCTGTCAACCACAGCTCTCTTGGGTGTCTGGATTTTTATTTGTTCTACCTGAAGGTCCTAGAAAAGGTTGTTCAGCTTCTAGATCTGATATTTGACTGGATTCGTCAGGTTGTCTTATGAGTTGCGGTATAATGTTCCTCCTTTTCCAGTTTCTGCTCATTCTACTAGGGCAATTAGTACTTTTTGGGCATTTCTGAATGCAGCTTCTGTTAATCAAATTGCAAGGCTGAACTTGGTCTTCTGTTCACAATTTTGCTAAGTTTTATAAAGTTGATGTTTCTGCCTCTTCTGATGCTAGTTTTGGCAGAAAAGTTATTAAAGTGGCTGTTTTGAGAATTTGAGCTGGTTCTTCTAGTTTTTATGGTGCCCACCCCTCTGTTTTGGACTGCTTTTGCATATTCCTACATGTCAGAGCTACAGTGGGGCAAAAAAGTATTTAGTCAGCCACCAATTGTGCAAGTTCTCCCACTTGAAAAGTTGAGAGGGGCCTGTAATTGGCATCATAGGTAGACCTCAACTATGAGACAAAATTACAAATCAAATCCAGACAAATCACATTGGAATTTATTTGCAAATTATGGTGGAAAATAAGTATTTGGTCAATATCAAAAGGTCATCTCAATACTTTGTTATATATCCTTTGTTGGCAATGACAGAGGTCAAACGTGTCCTGTACGTCTTCACAAGGTTGGCACACACTGTTGCTGGTATCTTGGCCCATTTCTCCATGCAGGTCTCCTCTAGAGCAGTGATGTTTTGGGGCTGTCGCTGGGCAACACGGACTTTCAACTCCCTCCAAAGGTTTTCTATGGGGTTGAGATCTGGAGACTGGCTAGGCCACTCCTGGACCTTGAAATGCTTCTTACGAAGCCACTCTTTCGTTGCCCGGGCGGTGTGTTTTGGGATCATTATCATGTTGAAAGACCCAGCCACGTTTCATCTTTAATGCCCTTGCTGATGTAATGATGTTTGCACTCAAAATCTCACGATACATGCCCCCATTCATTCCGTCCTGTACACGGATCAGTCGTCCTGGTCCCTTTGCAGAGAAACAGCCCCAAAGCATGATGTTGCCACACCCATGCTTCACAGTAGGTATGGTGTTCTTTGGATGCAACTCAGCATTCTCTCTCCTCCAAACAAACAGGTGCCATTGATACAGGTAATGAGTGCAGGACAGAGGAGCCTCTTAAAGAAGAAGGTACAGGCCTGTGAGAGCCAGAACTCTTGCTTGTTTGCAGGTGACCAAATACTTATTTTCCACCATAATTTGCAAATAAATTCGTTCCAAATCGGCCAATGTGATTTGTCTGGATTTGTTTTCTCATTTTGTCCCCCATAGTTGAGGTCTACCTATGATGCCAATTTACAGGCCTCTCATCTTTTTAAGTGGGAGAACCTGCACAATTGGTGGCTGATTAAATACTTTTTTGCCCCACTGTATGTCCCTCCAATGGGTGATACAGAAAATAGGATTTTGTTCTTGCTGTAAAATCTTTTTCCCAGAGTCTATTGAGCTCACTCATTTCCTTTCATACTGCTTGATACAGCTGGCAATTGTGAGGTGGGAGGGGTTATGTCCTTAAAGTGGCAGGCTTCATTTTTTTTCGCATAGTGTTCATTTCTCCTGGAGGCAGCAGCATAATCTATGTCACAGAATTCTTCAGAGCTGTGTCTCTCAATGGAAATCCTATTTTTCTTCATTCTAATACTGCTCATCCAGTAAAAATGTGTTTTCCCAACACTGAAAACAAATCCTTTTTTGCTTGGTCATATACTATATAGACTAATGTTTGTGTACACCTATCACACCTATATGAATTTATTGGACATCCCATTCCAAAGCCATAGGCACTTCACACTAAATTTTGTCAAACCATGTCTTCTTGGCTTTGTGCATAGGGTGAACAGTAAAGCTGCAACAAAAATGGCCTTCCCCCAAACTGTCACCACAAGCTTGGAAGCACACCAAAAAGTATTTGTATGCTTCAGCATTTACAGTATTACTTTAGGTGGAAATGCTAATTTTAGGGGTGTTCAAAAACTTTTTGGACTTGCAGTGTTATCAAGGTCCAGGCTCAATCTCTATCATTAAAGTATTATCCTTCTAATTATAACTTTTTAAGTAGATTGTAATTTTCAACTTTCTTTTTGCAGCATCCAAATACATTGAAACTGACCCAGCCAGTCGTGACAAGAGGACTCCCATTGCTATCATTAAGCAAGGCTTTGAGCCGCCCACGTTCACTGGTTGGTTCCTTGGCTGGGAGAATGATTACTGGGCGGTGGATCCCCTGGAGAAAGCCCTGGCGGAACTGAACATGTGATGTATTTACTAAACGCAGTCCCTGTGCCTTCACTGCCTCTAGAATCTTCCAAAGACGTTTCATAGCTCTGCTCTTTTCCCACTAGCTGTGCAATAACCAAAAACCTTTTGTTATACGTTCCAGTGCAAATTTTGGATATTTAAAAAGTAATAAAAGCTTGAACGAATCCTGAGTGTAGCCCGATTTTTTTTTTTTTTTTTTTTTTTTTTCGCATTAAGGATTTATTTCTGCTTCGTCTATTGCATTGAAGCCACAATGAACCTGGATAATATTACACGTTCTAATTTCCGGTTTTAAATACAATAAACAGAGAAAACGGACAGATTGTTAAATACATAAAACTTTATTTGACAATGCAAGTGTAGAAAGACATTCCATACATCAGATCTGTTCTCAATAATAAAATGTTCTTCCAATCAAGAAAACATATCTGTAAAAGCAGTGTCTTTGGAAACTTATGAACTTTTTAACAAAATATATAAATGTGGTTATATAAAATAGGTTTATAAGAATGCAGTAGAGAAGCAGAATGAAGCATAGAGATAATAGAACTGTGTTTTAACAGCAGCAGTGACCCTTATTACTCCACATTAGGGGAATTTGTAAAGTCAACCTGTCGCAAACCTAATAAAATTTTAAAGTGGGCTTGTGTCCAAAATGATCAGTAAATCTAGGCAGCTGAAGTTCAGAGTTTTTCAGTTTGACTTGCCCATGCTTGTGACAGGTTTGCTTTTACCACTCGAGGACCGGTATGTTAAACCCCCTTCCTGTCTAGGCCATTTCGTGGTGTGTGTGTGGGTTGTTGTTGTTTTTTCTTTTTTTTTTTTTTTTAGACCAAGCTAACCACCGGGATGACCCCTTTTTAATCATCTGCACTGTCCAAGGGGCAATGCAATCACTGTACTGTGCTCAGGCATGCACGAGCACCTTTACAAAAAAAAAAATTAAATATATGTTCCCATCCTGGAAGGGCTGCAGTCCCTCTGGTTTTTGAAATGGTCGGATGGCAAGTGGTTAATAATACAATTACATTTTCTCTTGGATTGGGTCTTGTAAAGAATTTTGATTGCTGTTCTAATGTCATATTTAGCTGTTCTAATGTCATATTTAGCAAGTAACACAAGGAAGTGGTTAGCGTTCTGACAGCTGATGTTGCACTTTAGTTGTCCAGGATGCTCTGCGGGTCTAAAAGCCACAAACACCAACAACACCCGCTGCTGCATAAGAGATAATTTTGCAAGCACATTACAGCACTATAGTGTCAGTGGTTCTGGAGGCAATCAGGATTGTGTGCTTATGTGAGAATTTGCCCTTTATGGCTACCGTTCTGCCACCAACCCTTAAGCCATTCAACATTTTTGACTGTATAACTTGGTGTTTTGAACTGGGAGGGGCTGCCTGCAGCACACTTCAGAAAGTTTATTGGACAGGAGTTGTTTTCAGGAAAAGGATTCCTTCTGGGACCTGAACTTTTTAAAAACTAAAAATGATCATTTGTAGGCTGCCCCATACACTTAAGAGGGAGGGGGGATGTTTAAGCATGACCCAACTGCTCAAAAACAAATTACAAATACTGGTTTATCCATGGGGGAACAATGAAGACTGAACTAGGTATTGTAACTTCTCTAATCAGTCCTGTATGATAGGACTGATCAAAGTACCCCAGATATTCAAGCAGAAGGCCCTCCTCCCAGGTCTGAGTACTTTTTAGGTACAGATCTGGAATTTCTATAACCCAGTTTGCATCGTGTGAACTGGCCCCTTTTACCAGCTAAATGACCTTCCCTTTGTATTTTAATCCACTCCCAGCTTTGATTTTGTTTTTGGTGGTAGGAATTACTTTGTCACATACAGAAAAGCTTAAAAAAACAATGCAATGAAAATGTGGCCTGTGGATCTTCTTTCTACCTATTTTTGCCAATCTTTTCAAAGTCTTGTTTTACTGATTTGATTTCCTGAACCGGGCAGTGTGCAGACTAAAGAAAGCCCTGGCAATCCATCGTTCTCTTTCACTGTTCTCTGAGCTGTGAACTGACAGGGGATGATGGCTGGTTGCTTTGGGTTAATGCACAACACTTTTACATTGCCTTAATAGAGCTATGCACTGGGGTTGTCATAACTAAGAACAGCTTAAAACATTCATTGGTCTAAAAGATAAATTGTTATAAATGTGATATGTAAAAGATATTTACAAAGCACAGCCTCTAAGGCTTCAATACAGCATCCTGGGGTCTGTAGTCTACCAACTGCACTGTATTGGGCTGTGAAAAAGCATTTAGGCTTAGTAGACATTTTGTCGGACTTCACAGGGCAAAAGCTAAATTAAAAAAATAAAAACAATACAAGGCTTTTATAGGCATTGTGAGATTATAGGCAACACACTAATGCATTGATAGGTTTTTTTTTTTCTAAACTCTGGGGATTTAGCTACTTCCTTCCACTCATCATCCCCTGCAGCATGTCGATGGGCAGTGGGAAGATGATGGTGGAATTCTTTTCCGCAGCGATGGTGGTCAGTGTCTGGAGATATCTGAGCTGCAAGGCGGCTGGAGACTCTGAGATGACTATGGAAGCTTCTTTAAGCGCTCGGGAAGCGTTCATCTCGCCCTCTGCCGCGATCACCTGAGGTGAGAGAAATATCCAATAACAATTTAATCTGGATTAGTAATTGGATAAACACAAATTATCCATGTGCAAAAACATTATATCCATGACAAATGATGGCCTGATAGTGGTAATGGAAGTTTTCCCAATGTACATAATTTGCAAGTTTTCCCAATGTACATAATTTGCCTCTAATAAATTACTTTATAGGGCAAAGTGAGCTGTAATAGCCTAAAATGGGGTTTTGGGAATTTTGGGCGAAGAGTTTGGGGTTAGAGGCACAAGAGCCAGTTTTCAAACAGTTAAGTCTGTAGAGGGTAAACTCATCCAGGATTCAACCAACTGGCATACATGTCCTCATTTATTTGTACCGGTGGCTTGAAGCACGCTATAAAAAATTGTCCGTTATTTGGTGCACACTAAAAAAAATTTAGTTGGCAGCGAGCACTAGATTCTGCAGTTGGCAGAAGAATGTGAACAATTGGGAGCAAAAGCCAGACTGACTATTGCACCCGCCCCACTGAGCAGAAGGGTGGACCCGAGAGAGCTCTCTCTCCTTCATGGGGAGGGTTTCAATACCCAGCCTGCTACTGCAATTTAAAATGGCCAATAGCAGTCTGGCTACATAAGCTAGCCGACAGGTGAATAGGAGCCATGAGGGAAGAAACGGTTAGCCGGCACCTACCGATCCTCATAGGTGCCAGATAACTGGGAGTTTACTGCAGTCCAAATGTATTTTATGGGGTGGGTGGGTTGGCTAGACGGCACAGGCTTTTTTTTTCTTTCTTGCCTTGAGCGCAAGGAGCTGGCTAAGGCTATGCTCCCACGGTACTCGTACGGCTGCCGGCTGAATGTGTCAGACGCTGCAGATGGAAAGGGGCATGACACCTCTCCCCATGTGCAACGTTGGCCACGGGAGGACAAGACACCGGGGCCTCTAGGACGCACTGGAATGAAAGCCGGCTGACCTTCCTGCGTTCAGGGGCGGGAGGGGGTGTGGGGTTGTATTGAAGTCAATGGCACTGCAGCCATGCCCTCCGCCCACAGCGCAATCGCCCGCACCTGGAACGCAGGCACATTAGTGCCTGCATTCCGGTCCAGTGCAATCTGCAAAAATAGTGCTTGCAGCATTTTTGCGGATTGCACTGGACTGGAACGCAGGCACTAATGTGCCTGGGTGCAGGCGATCGCACAGTGGGTGGGGGGCATGGCTGCGGTGCCATTGACTTCAATGTGCCACCACACCCCCTCCCGCCCCTGAATGCAGGTGTTTTTGTTCCTTGGTAGATCTCATTGAGCTCGTCATTTGAAAAGTAGATCTCCAGACGAAAAATTGTTGGCGCCCCTGTCCTAGAGTGTAGAATTGCCCCCTAGAAGGCGATACCAAATTTTCTGCAGCATAACCACAGAAAAAACCCACAGCTCTGCTGCCTTCCAACTTACCTTAGCTCTTGCCTCCCTGGTAGCCTCAGCCTCTGCTGCCATCGCCCGCTGAAGTTGAACTGGCAATTTGACATCCTTGATCTCCACACGCTCCACTTTGATACCCCAATCATCAGTGGCAACATCCAGTGTGGACTGCAAACAGAAAAAGTTCCACATGTAAAAGGAGTAATAAAATCTTCAGATGTGACAGGAATGCCTATTGTAGCATTAAAAAAAAATTAAAAGGAGAAGTGAACGTTTAAAACCCCCTTAGGATTCTCCAAGCAAATCAAACAAGTTTGCAACTATAATCTCTCTCTCGGCACTGTGATTGTCCAGCTCAAGTTTTTGTTTTTTTCCCCTTTGTCTGCTACCGAAGTTGTCCACAGACACTGGCAGCAGGCACTGGGCTTTGTTTATGTAGTTATGACAAAGACAGTATTCCTGTATCCCTTTTGTCAGAGGTTTACTTCTGACTGGCTACCAGGGATCTTCTAGGAGAAGCATGGCTATAATGATACTGGGGATACCTTCTCTATGCTGTTGGAACTTTTTCGTCTTAGTTTATTTGATCTGTGTACAGGTTTTCTGCCACTTCCATGGAGATATGTTCTTATGGGATAGAACCAACTACCATTGAGAAACATCACTGCCATCAGAATGTCTGTATGGTAATTTCATTTTCCATATGAAGAGGAAAAGAGATGACAATATGTACCCGCTATATAGCATGTGAGAGTGTCAATTGTTTTTTGCAAAATGACAAAATAGTGTAAAGTCAGCTTAACGCTACCCTGCCTTCCTGGCTGACGCTTTGTGACAAATCTGTCAATGTAGGCAAAGAGTGCAAAATAAAATCGGCTATTAGTTTCACTTCTGACCCTCCTGCATTATTCCTAGAAAATGAAATTGCATGAGGCTGAAAAACTCTAGTTAATAAGACATTTTCAGAGTGTTGTGGCTCCGTGGCAGAATACAGGGATTTAAAGGCACTGTACAGAATGGAATTCAGAGTATACAGATACAAAGGTTAGAAATGAACAAGGGAATTTCTTTCCATTTATGTAGCTTGGTGGGCAGCACAACCTCTGTGTCTCTTCATTCTGTAGCACAGAACACCTTTCTCCTCTCCCACACACAGTTTTGAGGGGAATCTGTTAGTGAACTGGGTTCTACATAATTTCACCGAGTAATCCAGTACGGACTGAGGATTGCTAAATTCTATGCTCTAGAAGGGGCCTAGATATAGGACATGTCTGTGTTGGTGTGCCAATAACACTACAATACTCGATTGAAGAAATAAAGCTGAATGGAGATGGAATGAGTGTAAAGCATTCATGTGCATCTTCCCAGCAAATGTGATTTTGCAGATAGGGGCTAGTAAACTGTATACAGTATGTGTTACTTCTCTAGGCATATGCAGGTTAGTGAGGTATCCTGTTCCAATGAACTGCATTCAAACATTGCCACATCTTTAAAATAACTATAGAACAATCTCCTTCATAATAAAACACACAATGAAGCAAGCCATACTTCAAGAGCCAGCACAAATATGAAATGGTGCAAATTATATCATCACACATTACTTAACCTGGGGGGGTGGGCGGGTATTTATGACATATCACATGACTCACAATAACATGTGTTTTTTTTTTAATGCAAACCAAAAGGGATTGCAACACTCAGTGAATCGTTAGATTCTGTTAAAAAAAGTTCAAAAAACGGGCTGATCTGCATATTGCTCCCAGCGGCTATTGTGAAATCCCTTTGCACAATATACAGTCAGTTCCAGTGCCCCACCTGCATGTTATGTGCGATCTCCTCCCTGTCCGATAAGATCTGCGACAGGTTCTTTGTGCCCAGGACATTGCGCAGAGTGGTCTGCGCTAGGAGTCGGGTGGCCGAATCTGCATTTGTGATGTTTGCTACAGCCAAGGTGGCGTTCTGTACTCGGTAATAGACGACGCCATCCACACTGACAGTCACCGAGTCTTTAGTCAAAATCTGAAAATAAATGTCAGGACAATTAATCTTAGAGCACCATATCTGCTTCCAAGGTCATAACAAGCATTATTCATTCTGGAGAATAAATGGCGATTATTTTACCGCAGGAAATAAACAAACAATTGTAATACCCTCTATCACTGCAGTTAGCGAATAACCCACAATATTTGCAGAATCAAAGACTCTGATCAAAGACAGAATCAAAGGCAATGTCGGCACTGGAATGATTCCAATCACCCTAAAGGTGGCCATACACTCTACAACCATCGCAAGACTTTTAGTCTTGCGATGGTTGTACAGGGATTAAAAAAAAACGTACGATCTACCTATCTTGGACAGGCAGATCGCACTCTCGATCATCGCAAGCCCGCCCCCCTGAGGGGCGGGCTTCTGATGACCGCAATGCTGAACGGGCAGTGTGCGCGTGTGCACACCGGCCCGTTCGGCATTTGTCTTCCGAGCACCGTTCTAACCAGCCGAGAATCTTACGATTCCCGGCTGGTTTTCGAACATGCTGGTTCGACAGAAGATGTGCGACCGTACAGTAGAAACGGTCGCACGTCTCCGTTCACACTGCTCGATTATCGTACGAAAAACTGATCGCATACGATTATCGTACGATAATCGTGCAGTGTATGGGCACCTTAATGGGCAATTTCACCTAATGCATACTTAAAAACACTTTTATCTGACATCAAATGAATTGGAAAGCAGGAAATATTTTATAGTGGAGCAATATTCATTAGACTGCAGCCACCCAGTTCACGCCGGGCTGGTGACATGGCTGAGCTGTGTCTCCAGTCTCACACGTTTACATTTTACTAAAGCTGTGATTTCCATCTGGCGCCAGACTCAAATATCTGCACATGCAGCTGTCCTGATGTGCAGGACACAGGTTACCTGCAACAGAAATCTGGGGGGGGGGGAGAGGGGGTACATGCCTTACAGCAAAGCTAGAGGAAATTTGCACAATAACACAAACCCCAAGATTGTTAAGCAGCTTGAATCTGATTGGTGGTCTTGGCACAATTATGTAATCTGTGGGGCTTTGGAGTTTGCAGTAAAACCCTGTAGACTAGCCAGTCTGGGGAACCTTAAAACAAACCTGGGACTCCATTATACACATCTGCAAACAAGTTATCCATAAATTTCTGTGCTTACAGGTATAGGAGATTGGTTGGGCTTAGCAGTTATGTTGTAGATATAGTGGGCAGAGAAGAGCCGACATGTGTCGGCTACAATTAAAATAAATTCTAATAACAAAAACTGTAAAAAAAATAAAAACACCTTCTGGCCATTAATTTAAAGCTTTACATGTCCTTTTCTAGAAGTAATGATTACTTTTCCTAAATGGAGACAGTGAATTTAAAAATGATTTCCTTTAATGTACTGGGAAAGATTAGTGATACAAAAAAAAGTCTATGAAGTCATTTTACATCCAGAGAGGTTTGAAATACATATATAGAATATACACTATATTGCCAAAAGTATTGGTACACCCCTCCAAATCATTGGATTCAGGTGTTCCGTGAAATTTCCTTGCTACTAAATATTCCACGGTCAACTGTTAGTGGTATTATAGCAAAGTGGAAGCAACTGGGAACAACAGGAACTCAGCCACGAAGTGGTAGGCCACGTAAAATGACAGAGTGGGGGTCAGCGCATGCTGAAGCGCACAGAAGTCGCCAACTGTCTGCAGAGTCAATAGCTACAGACCTTCAAACTTCATGTGGCCTTCAGATTGGCACAACAACAGTGCGCAGAGAGTTTGATGGAATGGGTTTCCATGGCCGAGCAGCTGCATCTAAACCTTACATCACCAAGTACAATGCGCAGCGTCAGATGCAGTGGTGTAAAGCACGCCGCCACTGGACTCTAGAGAAGTGGAGATGTGTTTTCTGGAGTGACGAATCACGCTTCTCTGTCTGGCAATCCGATGGAGGTGTCTGGATTTGGTGGGTGCCAGGAGACCGGTACTTGCCTGACTGCATTGTGCCAAGTGTAAAGTTTGGTAGAGGGGAATTATGGTGCGAGGTTGTTTTTCAGGGGTTGGGCTTGGCCCCTTAGTTCCAGTGAAGGGAACTCTTAAAGTGACATTAAAGGCAAATTTTTTCCCCCCTCACCCCAACGTTAATTAAAGCACTTACCTTAAATGATGTCTTTTAATCCGATCGTCTTCTTTCATGTAGTTTTCAGCCTTCTCTCCAGCGCTGCGGCGAATCTCTGATCCAGCGCCGACTCCTCTGAGCTTGCTGGCACGTACTCTCCCACAGTGTCTGCATGCGGGTGCACGTGTCCATAGACTTACCTTACGTCTTTCCTCGCGTCCCAGACGAAAATGTGAACTGCGCATGCGCCCGCCCCAAGATGCTTTACGGCCGCCCGTGCAGTTTCAAATTTTCGGACGGCAGTGCGCAGGGAACACACAGGTAAGTTTAAACTGCTGTTAAAGCGTTTTTTGTTTTTTTTACTTTTTGCATATCTACTGCTTGCTAGCAGTAGATATATGCAAAAAAAGCTGAGGGTTTAGAAAACCTTTAAAGGCATCAGCATACCAAGATATTTTGGACAATTTCATGTTCCCAACAGTTTGTGGATGGCCCCTTCCTGTTCCAACATGACTGCGCACCAGTGCACAAAGCAAGGTCCATAAAGACATGAATGAGCGAGTTTGGGGTGGAGGAACTTGACTGGCCTGCACAGAGTCCTGACCTCAACCCGATAGAACACCTTTGGGATGAATTAAGAGCGCAGACTGCGAGCCAGGCCTTCTCATCCAACATCAGTACCTGACCTCACAAATGTGCTTCTGGAAGAATGGTCAAACATTCCCATAGACACACTCCTAAACCTTGTGGATGTCTTCCCAGAAGAGTTGAAGCTGTTATAGCTGCAAAGGGCGGGCCAACTTAATATTGAACCCTACGGACTAAGACTGGGATGCCATTAAAGTTCATGTGCGTCTAAAGGCAGATGTCCCAATACTTTTGGCAATATACTGTAGAACAGAGTATCATTTCAATATCATAATTTGCATACGGATTTATATTTGGATTTCACACAGTCATCCACAATAAGGTAAAGGGAGGGGACATCAGAAAATGGGGCTCAGGACACAGCGTATGGCTGACAGAAAAATGTTCCCAGCACTCAGTATAAAGTACTGTAAATACCATGCAGAAGAGATGACATGGTAACGTTAATGCTTCATAGGAGTGAAACGTTTTAAGATAATGAAGCAAGGAACAGTTTGATGACTTATGCCTAAGCCCACACTACCTCCCCCAGAGATGTAACATGTCAGTGACTGAAGCACTTTACCTCTTGTGGGGGGATGTCGAAGGAGATGGTCCTCATATCCACCTTAATGAAGCTATCGGTGCAAGGAAGCACAAAGAAGAGACCTGAAAATTAGAAATATTTCAGAGCCCGCTATGGAAGGCAGAGAGGACAATAATCTAATTCAAGAACAAAATGAAGCAGAAACTCTGCAGTCACAGACAAGAGATCAGACAGCTGAGGTTAAGGACATGCTGAAAATATGATAAGATGAAGTAAAGGCAACACACCCCAAGATTTCCAGTGACCTTCCCATCTCCATTCCAGAATTCAAATTCCAGGAGCAAACCCAACACAAACATCTGATCTTACCTGCAGAATTCTCTTTTCTGTTTATTTCTTAGTGACAATAAAAGATGGATTGCTTTTAGCACATTCTGCAGTTGTTGTTTTTTTTATTAAGTGAGTAAGCTCTAGAACCTCTGTCAGTTTTTATTGCTAGCTGTGCCCTTGTTTGAGAGATATCTCCTCATTTCCTACTTCCTGGAAATGAGGGAAAATATTTTCACTTTCTGGCTATATCTGAAGGTGTCAGAACAGGAAGTGAGAGGAAATTCCTCCTATGGATATAATACCCAGGCAGCAATAAGAACACTTTTTTTTCATTCTTTATTTTTGAGCCAACATTGACACAGTTATCATAAATCTCAGGGGACTTTATAGGGACACTGTGACAGTGCAACCTCAATAAGCTGTTGTTTTGAATGTAGGATAACTGCACTGTCCATGCAGAAGATTAGCATGCACCACCAGCTGTCCACTTTGGTAACTGACCCACCAAATGGAATGTAATAAAGACCATGCCTCCTGTGCCAGGAGCTCAGACAAGACTCTCACTTTCATAGAAAGCACAGACATTTCCATCACAATATTATTAAATCATGTCCTCACCTGGACCCTTTGCGCCGCCAGGAAAAATACGGCCCAGACGGAAAATGATCGCCCTCTCATACTCTTTCACAATCTGAAAGCAGAAGAAGCTTTGTTAAATAGATCTTACACATTCAGATTTTGTTCTCATTGCAGCATGTGAAGCATGAGCTTTGGTGTCATTAATTCTGACATTTTAGATCATGTTTTATTATATCTTTAAAAGAAAACTTTGGGGTCAGGGCTTTTCCCTATAGTTCTCTTAAGGGTCACAGGAGGACATATACTAGCATCCTCCCGTGCCCCAAAGCTCAGTATATCGCAAGCTACAGTTTGCGGTATACTGAGACCGCCAAAGCCGGGATGGATCCTGACATTACTGTCGAGATCCACCCAGCTGCGTGACTGACAGCTGGCTCTGCCCATCTAGAGACAGAGACAGCTGTGCCCGCCCTCTCCCCCGTCCGTTCATCCAGTCAACGCTGGAAGATCGGAGCGGGGTGGGGGGAATCCCTGCAGGGAGCCGTGAGTGACAGTCACGGCTCTCTGAAGGGAGATGATCAAAAAGTCAGCGAGCGACGGTATTTGTTCGCTCACTTCCCGATCTATGGAGCCGACGTGACAGTTTCATTGTCACACGTCGGATGGAACTAGGAGGCTGAGTGATTTTCACCCCCCTCATAGTTCTCCTTTAAAATGGTGGCTAGACACAATTTGCACGTTGGTTTCCTGCAACATTCAAGAAGAAAGCGGAAACATTTCTGGAACTGACAAGTTGAGTGGAGATGTTTGTCTGCACACTGCTAACTTCATTCTCAGTAATCCGTTTAAAGAGGAATATCACCCTTATCTTAAAGCTTACAACAAAGGCACCTTTAGAAATGTTAATTAATGACAATCTTCAGATACTTCTAGATAATTGCAGGCTATTCTTTGCATACCCTACTTTTCTTTTCCTCCCCATTCTTCTCATGGTGGCCATTTTCACTAAGGGAAGATGAAGCCACCTTCCTTTACTTCCTGGAACTCTGGCACATGTGACAGTGAGCATCACCCCAGAGGAAAAAATATTTCCCCCGTGAGATTTTGTGAGGTTTTGCAGTTTAAAGATGAGATTTCCCAGCAATGAACTGTATTGTAGCCCCCCCAAGATGCATCTATTAGGCCAGGATTACAACACTGATGACTAAGAGGACCAGGAAGTGGAAAACGAGTAAGTGTAAGTAAAACACAACAGGATTTTTTGTTTTACTAATACATGTACACTAATACAAGATGATTTCATATCAGCATGTAAAGCTGCATGCTGTTGTGATTTTTCATGAAATGGGGAAAAGGTCTACAGACAGTGAACGCTCTTCATTGTTTCCTTTTAGGATATCTGTAGCATAATTAAGTATTTGTGTTTTGTCTCCCCATTGATCTTCTAAAACTTTGTTCCAATCATCAATGCTTGTTACTAAGTAGAAACCTGTTTATTTGGTTGTGTAGAGTGTAGGTGAATAGGAAGGAGGAAGGATGTCCCTCGTGTGTTTCCACAATGGCCTACCTTTATACACATCCATATGGAGATGGGAAATGTGAGAAGGGTAAAGAAAAATGATACAATGACCAGAAGCCATCCGCAGCATCCTAGACCAGCATCAGAGTCGTCTCCTGCAGGGGAAACAAAGGATATTAGGACCAGCTCACCCAGAAACGTTATAATTGTGGTTTCAGAACATTTGCCATCCCTGGTATCCCTATTACAGGGAACAGATCTCATAGCTCTCTGTACATCTAAAGGAGTGCTGAGAATGCTGCATTTCAGAAATCATTGGGAAGCTGGAGCAGTCAATGATTTATAATTTATATAATACCCAAAACAGCTGCTCAGAAATTCAGACTTCACCCTGTTACAGGCATGATAACATCATAAAAGCTGCCTATAAACTGTACTGTTCTCAACGACACAGTTTCACAAAATGGAAAAAAAAAACAGTAACAGTTTTATACAGAATTTTATAAAGTGCTCCTACACAAGTTCCTCTCATAATGCGCATGGCATGACAACTACAGTGCATGCTGGGTACGCAGCTGTCTGCCTGGTAAATCATGTTGTCTCCTATACTGATTAACCTGTCTGACCAGTTTTTAAATACAATTCCTGATTAAATATATTATTCATCTAATAGCTGCAATGGAAGTTCATCACCTGAAGCTGCAAAGATGAGCAAAGGTGGAATCTAGCGCTAAAGGATCTTCTTTTCATTGGAAGCATGCTGGCAGGGCTTCCTTTGACTTATAGTGCCCCAGTGCTGAAGTTAAATGCCTCCTACAGCCAGTCTGCACTCTATTGGGCCCAGACCCAACAATAGGATAAGATTTCCTGCTATAACTGATTCTGATCTGAAGATTGTATTGTGTGTGGTTGTATTCATGTAGAGAAAACTGACAGAAAATGATAGGTAATCCAAATTTTGTTGTCACAAGAGCAGGAAGTGAGGGAAAATTTTCCAATAGGGACTAGTTCGGTGACATTTGCTTAAGCAAGGAATTACCTTCACTTTGTATAGATTTCCCCACAATTCTTGTTGTGTTTCAGAGACCAGAAGTGAGGGGGAGCGCTCCTCAATGGGACTAAAACAGCAAAAAAAAAAAAATCTAAGAGGGTTCCTAACAATTCCCCACTTTATTCAAAAAGGTTTTGGCTTTAGATCTACTTTTGTAACTAATGTGGTACTGTATCCGGGGATGGTGTATGGGAGTCTGAGAAATCCCATACATGAGCCACAGTGAGGTGACAGCTCCTTGTATGTTGTATCCAGGCACATGAGGCTTGTATACATTGTGTAACCAGGAGGTCCCATGACAAACACTTGTTGGCTTGCACTCTGTATATTCTGCATTCTGCTAACACGGACACCAATTCATCAACAAACAACACACATCACAATGAATAAGGCTTTCATCTATAGTGAATCTGCAACAGCCATCTCACACCTTCTGAAATTAGTAGTTCAAGCTGTGAAATAGCAACCAGTTACCCATAACCTGTCCTCACTGTGAAATCGCAAAATACACAGGAGGGGGACTTCATCAAAACTGGAGCAGCCAAAATCTGAAGCAGTTGCCCATAGTAACCAATCAGCTTCCATTTTTAAACAAAACAAACTAAAGACAGAAGCTGATTGGTTACTATGGGCATCTGCTTCAGATTTTTGGCTGCTCTAGATTTGATTAAATCCCACCATGGAATTAGTTTTTCATAGATTATTCATACCATGTCCTGCTCCCATGTGCCTGTACATCTGTCTGTCTGTTTATCCACGGTACTCAATGTCCCAGTTTTGGTTTACCTAAATTATGCCACTAAGCTTTATTCTCCACTTAAAGTGGGCAGATTACAACAACTCCATTTTAATGTTTAAGGGAAAATACAACATGCCATTAGTAAGTGCACATTTAGAGTTATTATAGCTGTGTTTATCTTACATTTTTTTAGTGACTTTTTTACATTTCACATACACTGTGTTCCATATTTTTCTTCTATATTAAATATAGTAGTTTGTAAATTAGCCACTAGAGGGAGCTTAGACTGAATGACAGCACACAGGCTGCCTGTTCTACAACTGGTAAGATATATTTATGTATTAATGTATTTGTTTGTTTTTGGACACACTATACATAGGTTATAATACATCGATACTAATATGATTATTTACATTTAAAGTGCAACAATATTAGAAAATGTTGCAGATACCCCTCCTATATATAACTACATATCACTGCATAACAACTTTCATATACCTAATTTATTCTTTGAAATTGTGCCAGTCAGCAGGCCTTCCTCCAGGAGATTAGGAAATTAGAACAAAGTCATGTAATCCAAGTTGGACATCCTGCTTCTGGAAAAGTAATGCAGGGCACTCTCTTGGATCCAGCTACCAATGAGTGAAGATCTCAGGAACCCTCGTGGGGACATCTCAGGGGCAAAGAGGAGGAGTTCTTCACTAGTAGGAGCAGGTAAGTAAAAAAAAAAAACAACATGGTGGTACTTTTCCCTGACCACAAAATGACTTTAAACAGGCTTCGTTCACATGTATTTTTTTTTTAAAAAGGGAACTACTATTTCCTCAAAATAGATGCATCTGTCTCAAAGTGTCCTAACAGACCTGCACCTTTAAATCACTTGTCTAGAAACACACATAAAAAGCCAAGGAGGGTGTAAGGAGTCATTAAAAACGACTCCACATTCCCATTAGAGACTCTATTGCCCAGTCACATGATGAGAGGTTGCTAGCCATCATTGTCTCTAAATGTTAGCAAACATGGAAGTCTGGTTGTGTGTACGGAGCTCCCAGACTCAGCAATGAGTACAATGTTTTGCAGTGTAATATTTGCAGGTGTCTTGTCATGTCCCATAAGTCACATTGTTGTGACACCTTCACAGTCAGCTGTGAGCAGTTTTTTGCACAATGCAGTTCTGCAACTCCTTATCACCTGAGCAGGGAAAGCATTCATTGTCACGCAATGGCAGAGGACTCTCCATCACGTGAAATCTTTCCATAATGACTCAGAAAGCCGCTAAAAAAGGACTTTGCAATCTGCTACACTCCCATACTACATTCTACATCAGTGCCATGAGTGATAGCCCCCTTCCCCTCTCCTGCACTCCTTGCCTCACACTAATTTGTGTGTTCCAACAGACAGACATCTCCGGAGAATGCTGGTCAGAGGGAACCCTGCCTGTCCGGCACCTGCCACTTTTACTCATATATCTCACTCAAATAGCTATGTTGCGGCAGACATTTCCTGCCATCTTCTCACTCAGATCCACCAGCTTACACCATTCTCAACAAGTCAGGGAAGCTCTGCACCATGATTTGCACCTCTGGCTGTGGAAATGTTTGTTGTCACGGTCTATGGTAGCACTAAGGGCAGTTTCACCCCATTTTCCGGACCAGATCTAGAACACAGTGCATTGCGTTTTGCCGCGTTTCGGATAAGTTTAAAATTGGCTTTTTTGATGCGTTTCCATGCGTTCCAGACCAGACAAAAATGAGACATGCAGTATTTTTCTGGTCTGGAACGGACTGCGTTAGTGTGAACAGAGGCCAGAAATAGCATAGGGATATATTATGATGCATTTTGGGTCCGGAAACAATCTGGTCTGGTCTGGATGTGGTGTGAATGGGCCCTAAGTTTTTCCCCTAGTGTCATATCAGTCAGTAAGGGCTCAGGCATATGGGCATATCAAAATACACTCCTGCTGGAAGCTGCGTTTTGGTGCGTATTACTCAAGTTTATGTGTGTATGGTGTTTAGACGCATATGCATGTAAAAACTCATTCTTTTTGGCCTAAATATTAATTACTGTCCAGTTCTCTGCATGAGAACTGGACAGTAACGGGCTTAGTGTGCCTGTCACTCCAGCGCTGCTTCCAATACAAGGTCTAGTCCAGAATTAATTTAAGCACATATTTATATGCATAAGTGCATAAATTATGCCAGTAAGCTCCTCTATGAACACAAGTTTTGGGGCTTTTTTATGCCCCTGAACACTGCTCTAAACAGAGAGATCTAAAAGTCACAATGGGCAAGGACACACTGGTTGAAATTGAAATGCATTCAATTAATAAAATGCCTCTAAAAACAGCTTCTGCCCATGTGCAGGAGGCCCAAGGCCCCACTAACACTTGCAAAAAGGGCCTAAATCAAGGGTGGTGCTGGACCATTTACATTCCTCCACCACCACACACACACAAAAAACTGCACTGTAGAAGTAGCTGCAGCCATTAGATAGGAATCTCTGTATCTGGCAATGGAAGCAGCCACAAATCTCTCCCAAAAAACATGCCCAACTGCTATATGAGGTCTATGTCCATCCTAGGAGTTCAGCTCCCAGATCGTCGGCCCACTCCTCACATGACATGTTACTGGCCGACTGCATTCATTTTCTTAGAAATTTGAAATGAAAGCTCAGCAAAATAATTTGCATTTTTATACATTTGGCTCAATTTTACAGTTAAGCCTCACCCAATCACATTACTGGTATTCTGCAGATAGGGCATTACTCAACATGTAAAGTTTGCCATATGACTGGTTATTGTCTAAATATATTGAAATCCCAAGTTAAATACAAGATTCAGCATGCTCTGGTGACTGTTTGCTCCATGATATAGAGGTCTTCCTAAACAGATCCACAAAGTTTATTAAATTGTGTTTCTTTATATAGCTGCAGCTTCTGTCAGAGGTTCCCCAGACACAGTCCATCAGCAGCAATACAAAGAGCTGTCAATCACCAGCTACATTATATTAAATTACAACAGCAGCAAACACTGCACCGGAGACATTGCAGACTCGGTGAGGGGAGGGATAAAAATATATTAAAGGAGAACTATGAGGTTAGTGATTTACACTCATCCCCATAGTTAGAGCCGACGTGTGACAATGAAACTGTCACACGTTGGCTCTATTGATTGTAAAGTGGGCGAACACATACCGTCTCTTCTTCATTTGCCGATCATCTTCCTGCAGAGAGCAGTGACTGACAGTTACCGCTCCCAGCAGGGATTCCCCCCCTCCCCTCTCTGATCCTCCAGCGCTGACTGGAGGAACGGACGGGGGAGAGGGCGGGCACAGCTTGCTCTGCCTCTAGATAGACAGAGCCCGCTA